GGTTGGTTGGTTGGTTGGTTGGTTTGTGTGTGTTTGTTCTGTTTTGTTATTCGTGTTTCGTTGTTTGGGCTCTTTGTATGTTGCTTCGGCGCTGCGGTTATGTTCAATGCAACCGGCTTTGTGTCTTTGGTTGCTTTCGAAATTAGAACAAGCAGCTTGGATCAAAGAGGTTTCAGAGACCCCCTACCCCACTTGGCGGTTTGGATTGGGGTTTCCCTCAAGAGCCAGGGGTTCAAACCCCAAGCCACGGGCTGCAAAGCGCCAAGGGAGCCAGGTGAGATTTGCCCAGGGCTCGACTTGGTTCATATTGGGTACTTCAAGGGGCATTGTGCTTAGCAAGTGGGCAACAACCATGGTTATAACTCACTTATCATTGTATCATGGTTGTAAGGCTCCTAAGTGGGTTATCCGACCATCCTTCCGGCTGAGTGCCTTCTTGCGTTGGGCTGTTTTTCATGTCAGGGGCCCTGTGCGTGGTCATAGTCTGCGCCTTAGCACGTCTCGAATGATGGGGCTGACGTGGACGAATCATTTGAGGGCCGTCTTAAGACACCTACTATGGATGGACGAGATTCTGCGCTACTTCAAAGCCATGGGAAACCATGGTTTGAACATATTTACAGGGGAATCATCATTCGGGTTTCTTAGGCGGTGCAGGATTTCGTCCATCCACAGGATGTTTCCTCGGGTGGTTTTTAAAGATCACCTGGAAGGCCCTGCCGAATCGAATCCCTCCCAAGGGACAAAGTTGTCGCAGCGGTATTTCAAAAAGTGCCGCGGGGTTCACCTTGTATGGCTTGAATATTTGAAACCATGCGGCGTCTCGACTCAGGGGACCCAACAAAGAGGGCGGGGGGGGGGGGGGTTTTGATGTCCTTTGGCAGAATTACCAAGCGGTGTCAAAAAAGACGCCCATGTGTCGGTCCACAACCTTGCTGAATGTTGACTCTTGACCAGAAGCCACATCCGTTCATAAACTCTATACATGAAAGCATTTGTTTAGTGGCGGGATTCCGTTCTGCCAGAGCGACCGGGACCCTGATCAAGGACGTGGGTCGACAGTATCAGCATTCTGCATGGATATTCAACTCTGCGAAGTGGTCGCTTCCCCTATAGACAACTCTTTTGTAGGTTTCTCCATCATCTCGCCTAGGGCCAATTACTCAGCAGGAAAGAAGTGCACAAACTCCTTGAAGGCGAAACCTTTCCTTTGAGGAAACCAGCCTGTGCGGGGTATGTGCCATATTTGCTGGGCTCAGTGTCATTTTGCTGCGTCACCTGAGGGCGGTTTGTGCAGTTACGTTTAAGCGTGGACCTCGGTGCGGCTACTTCTGTCCGGCTCTCCCCCTTCCATTCACGCATTTGCGTCGTGCGCTGACTTGTGAGCCAATTGGATTGACAACTGCACCAGGTAGGTGGCTCATGTGGCTGCGGGTCAAAAGATGTCAAAAGTAGATACCCGAAATGCAACCCTGGTAAATGGCAATATGAGCTAGAATCTGCGGTCCCCTGGTTGTTTAATTTTGACCCACAGCCATATAGTGCAGGATTCCATCGACTGTATCTTCCTAGCGCCAGTGTTTTCGATTAGATCACGCAAGGGTCCCGACTTCTTTTTGGGCCCGAAAGAGAGTTGTGTTCAAGGCGGGGTTCCCACCGAACGGTGAGCCCGAAAAGGGTTCCATTTTTGTACTATCAGGGTCACTAGCCACTGCGATGCATTTTTCTAGTGAACCTCAATATTTTTATGTGCTGGTCATTCGGTTGGGTGCTCGACTCTTTTCAGGTTACCCTTGGATTGGTGGTTTGGGGACTTGAACCCCCAGCCCCCGAACTACCACCCAGGCGCGAACCCCGCGATGGGCTTTTCAAGGCGCGGGGTGCATCGACAGCAGAGCCCAGCTACGGGCGGGTCTTCAAACAACTTAGTAAGTGGGTGACAACTGTGGCAATGTGTAAACTCACCGCGGTTATCCAACTTGTAACCCTGGTTATGCCCTTCTTGCAAAATTGTTTGAATGTCCAAGTAGGGTTCCCCCGACTCCAGATACCCACTTTTTCTAGGTATTTTTGTTTCACAACCTGGGTTTCCATGGTAAATACCTCCTTTGTCAGTAGAGAGCGGACATCATATCCTGAAAAAAGTGGGTATTTTGTGTAATTAGGTTCCCTTTGAATCAAAGAGTCTAGCGCGCAAGAATTGGCGGAATGCACCCATTTGGGCATCCATAGAGCATGTCCTCAGTTGTTCAGTGGCACCAATTGTTTTTCCTTTTTTTCTTGGTAGCTGCCCCACTAAAAAGATGGTCTTCCCCAAAAAGGGTTCGCTTTTGTTCCAGGGTCACTGAACAACTGAGTGTCAAATTAGGTATGCGTCGGGACCAAGATCGGTGCAGGTGGTGGGGGCGTTACTTGAATTGTACATGATGGACCCTTACAGCAATGTAGTGGCTTAACCCGCATTCTCACAGAGAGTAGCTGCGCAGCCATGAAAGAGACATCAGAATCAGTCTCCGCGCCTTGTCATTCTCACTTCTTGGGAATGTATCAGTATCCTTTGAGCCCTGTTTGCGCTACAGGGGGGGGGGGGTTCGGGGGGAGGGGGGAGATGGTACCATTCTTGCTCATTGAAAACACATCTTGTGAGTTCTGTGCAATCATGGTGACTCTACTGAACGGCGTTGTTCGCGGATTGATTAAAAAGCTCGTCTTCTTGCTGCTTTTCACATGTTGGGACTAAGATCGGTGGATGTGGTCCATTTTCATTCCTTCCAAAGACAAAATCACAATTGCTTGACCCAAATCACAATGGAATTGACCACATCCACCGATCTTGGTCCCGACGCATGGCTCAAATTACCGTCAGAAGGAACCGTTTGTGGTTTGGGTCGTCAGCGCAAAGTGACACCGAGCGGCCGAGCGGGAGCTTGGCCAATAAGCCCCTATCCGCCAGCGGAACTCTTTGGGTCATGCAACTCAGTCGCGCCCCGGTTTCCCTGTGACTCTGAACAGGGGCTTTGCAGGCAACAACCAGCCTTTGGGCGAGCCCTGCATTCAGGAAAGGAAGCTTGGAGGGGCCATCACCTCGACACGCGGAAGCCATACCCCGAGACCCAAGAACGACTGCAGAAGACTCGACCCCGACCATGTTTGCTTAACGTACCACTTCACATACCCAGTGGCACTATTGTAGGTAGCCGACCATGTTCCCGTTGATGTTTCAAGGATGGTACAAAACCTTGGATAGGTTATAGGTTGGTTGGTTTTCCAGGGTCTCAACAGAGGGCACCGTTTCCTGTGGAGGCCGACGCTGCGGAAATACTTCGCTGCAGAGGCCGCGTTTGAAGCTGTCAGCGTAGCTGAATTAGCTCGAACAGGATTCGCCCTGAGGTGCTGGCTGGAGCATATGCTTAGCAGATCACACTCCAAAAGAGGTTCTTTGAACATGCACAATTTGTTCATTTGCTCACAGATCCGGGCAGCAAACGCCCCGTGATTCGCAGATTCCTTATGTCGGGTTTTTGAACTTAAGATAGTCTTGCCAGATCGGATTCCTGGAAAGGGTGGTTCAGAGCGCCTCTTGGAAAGGCCAAGCACATGGAGTTGCTGTTCGGTGGGTGATCTTTGGGAAAGCATCGAGTTCATTTTTGTGCTTAGGTCCCAACCCGGCAGCTTCACTGATCAAACTTCGGATCACTTCGGGTAGTTGGAGGGCAAAAAAAGAACACTCCCATGGGAGCCAGCTTTAGGCTTTGTATCAACCCTTGAGATGTCCGAAGGGTTCTTTGAGAACATCTGGGTGTGGCTCAAAATTAAACAGGAGGGGTTACGCAGGTTTTGGTCCATGTTTCCACTTACCACGGTTCCAGTTTTGTCGGTTTTTTTGAGCCGCAGCCATCTGGATCTGGAGGGTGCCAAACCTTGAGAGCTGTCTGGCTTCGCCAGGAACCTCCAGGAACTGGGAAGGAGGATCTCCATCGAGGTGAACCCCGACTCCTCAAAGAACGGCGGCTGCCTCGTTGACAGCACGAGAAAAAAAAAAAAAAAAACAAAAAAAAACTATAAGGGCCATTCCCATGAAGGTCCACATTGGCTATGAAGGTTGAGAAAGCCGATGGGTGAAACGGAGTTCTGCCGCTGAGATGATCTGCCTGCCTTTCATACTTCGCCATCAAAGATCCGCTTTGAGAACACCCCCACATGAATCCCCGTTGATTCCGGCCCGAGGAATCCCCGTGGCTGGACTGGGCCGAGAAAGTTGCTTCGGGCATGAGTCGTATGATGAGAAGGTTCATATTTGGCCAAAGGGCCAAAGAGTGCCACTCACACTGAAACCAGGTCCGGACAAATGGTTCATGGCGGGTTGTTACGCAAAGCCCCTCTCTTGGAGCCGACTTTTCCTCTCTTTTTTCCCGTGATGTTGTGGGTTTTTGTAGGTTGCTGCACTTTTTGTTTTTCTTCTTCTTTTTTGACTGGGTTTTTGTAGGTGTCTTACTTGGACATCTTCCGCAGACCACTTTTCCCCCGCAGAGCACCTGAAACCTGTGGGGTGCGGAGTGCTCCTCACTCGCCGGCTGAGGCGGCACGGGCTCCGCGCTGCTGCGGAGCGCCGAGCGGCTGCCGCCCAAGAGCCCCTGGATCGCCTGGGGAAGAAACGCGCTTGGAGGGCGGGTGGAGCAAAGGTGTCCTGTTTTGGGTGAGGCAAGGTCAGCCAGAAACTGGCAAGGCGATAGCCAAAGAGGGAAAAGGGAACTATGCCATGCCTTGAGTGTCAAACATTTGGGGTGTGGCAGAGGGCGCCAGTATCTTCAGGGGGGGCGCTGGCAGTAAAGGTTCCTCCCTTTTTTTTCTCCGGGGGGGCACTTTCAAGTCACGCTGGAGCAAAGGTTTCCTTTTCTTTCGGGGGGGCTTTTGCGACTGTGTGTCGAAGCCCCGAGTTTGTCATTCTTCTCTTTTCTTGGGGCAAAGCTGCGCACCCCCTTTAAATCGGCCCTGCGTTCTGTGCTCTTTATTTTTTGTGAGGCAACATGCCGTTGGAATCGTGGTGCCCTTTGTTCCGACTCTTTTTGTGCCGGCTTTTGGACAAATCCTTTCTTTCTGGCAGCGCCAAAAGGGCCCCTTGGGCATTTTTCCCCGGAAATCCGCTGGAGATCTAATATCAAATGTGGCATGTGAATATTGGGGATGGTGACTTGGTTTTGGGAAAGCGTTGGAATTAAAGCATTGTCTCCAAGTGAGAGGACCACACGGGGTAGTTTCCTTCGAGCCTTGAAAGCCTTGAGCATTTCTAAAAAGCGCAATGCGATGATGGGCATGCCTTTGTTGGGATGCATTTGGAGGAGTCCCTGATAAGCAACAAACTGTTGTTTTTTTTGTCTGATCGGGGATTCGGAAACTCCTTGTATTGCCCTTATCATTGGGGTAACTCACACATTTCCTGAGGGACGACAAAGTGTGAAACTGAGTGGTTAATATATGATTTTCAGTGTACCCCCGGGGGCCAAGTTTAGCAGGGCATTCAATATTGGGGTTTCGGTGGGAGGAACCCTGCAGGCTCAACCAGCATGAGAGTCCAAGGCTTTCTCGTTGGCCTGTTACCTTCAAAGAATCTCTCGCCTCTCTCCCCAGCACAAAGCGATAGCCAGCACACTTTCCCCTGCTCGGCCGCTGCAAAGGCCGCTTTCTGAACAGCGCTTGGGTCTTTGTTCGCCATGGGGACACTCCTTTCATTTGCTGGTGTGGTTCCTTGACCCTCGCTTGAGGCAGCATCTTTGTGAACATGGTGAAGACAGAAGTTGCTCGGCGCCACTCGGGCCTTCCCTTTGGGGCAGAGTACTTAGTGGTTCGCGGGCCATCGGTTGACACACCAAGGCCATTGCTTCAAGATCCTTTCCGTGGCCGGGCTACCAACCACATACTCCACATACCCTGCCCAAAAGAAGGGAGACACTGTGTGGGCCAGGAAGAAAAACGCCACGTTTTTGTCTTCAAGAGGGGCGAATCACGTGGGAACCTGCAAAATAGCGCCTTGGGAGGCTCAGTTTGAGCCAGGGCCTCTAAAAGGTCCCAACATATTTCACGTGTGCCCGAGACCTGGCTTTCGGGCGTTTGTTCCCCGCGTTGCTGTGTGGGCTTCTTGCTTTCACTGGTCGTCCGCGCTGACTCCTCTTGTCAACTCCCTCCTGAGCCGCGCGAGAAACGACAGAGAGGCCCATACAGTTCAACAATGCTAGCCGCTATGGTTTTTTCGACGTTGCCACAAACAGCTCAGGCTTGGCCCGCCAGCAGTGGTTGCGTTGCCTGCTTCGTAGCTTGCTGTGTGTAAGTTGGTTGTGCAACGGGCAAGGTGTAGTGCGGATATGGGGGTTGATCAATATTCTTGGCCTCCAAATGACCAAGGGTAGCTTTTCCATCTTTTGAGTGGCTCTCTCCCCAATGGTCATCCCATGCATGTCGGACCTTTGGATCACCCCCAGAAAGAAGCGGAGGCTGCCATAAGTGGTTGGTCCCTTGTTTCTCCTCTCCCCTGCAGCCTTCCGTTGTTTGCACATGGGCGCCTGGAAGCCGTCGCCCGCGCGCACCGAGCAAGCATGCAAGCCTGCAAGTCCGGGCGCTGGTCAGCCCCACCGGTCTCCACCCGTCGTGCCATGCCTTGAAGCCTCTCTCGTTCCTTCTCTTTTTTTTCATCCAGTTAAGGGATTTGTTTGGAGTGCTTTGGAAATGACAATAAGGAGGTCTCTTTCTCCCTCTCCTTCTTTCATCCAGTCAAGTTTTTTTGAGTGCTTTGTGAGTGACAGGTGTCGTAAGATAAGGAGCCAGCTTGGGTTACCCTCGAGTTCCCAAGAACTCCGTGAGATTGTAGGGATTCAAGATTCACTAGACCCGTCAGGGGAAGCCTGACAGTTAAACTTTTAGCTGGGGATCTGAGGACAACCCAGATTCCAACCGGAATTTCTCCGGGCCCTCCAGGATCAACTTTCGAGCCGAGGTGGATCACTTCAAAGATGTGGCGGACACTACACGACTATTGGCGGATGAAGGAAGCGGGGGGTCATGTCACCCGGGGCTGACATGTCCACGGCGAACTGGTTTCGCGGAGTCTGCGGGCTGACATCAAGCAATCGTCCGTTCTAAGGTCCCTTGCAAAAAATCGATATGGCTGTGGGTCAACAGTAGCTACCAAAAATGGGTTACCCTGGTGGACAGAAACATGGACCACCAGCGGTGCCCTGGTGGCTTAAGTTTGACCCATATCTGCCCCCAAACAGGCACACAACCCAAATCAGCGGCCTTTAGAGGCGGTCCAGCTCGATGTTCGAGCAAAACCGGCGAGAGACACTGGTGAGAGGCTTGGGTCAACTTCCAGCGCCGTCACCCGTGTTGCATTCGGAAGACTTGTTGATGTTGCCCCTACGGAAACGGGTCGTCTTCTTGCCATCCATTCGGGTACTTTTTTGCATCTGTGCCAAAGCAGGGCTCGAAAGCATGGTCTCGCGGCCTAGAGTCGCGCACTGGCTTCGACGGGAAGAGGGGAATCAGCCTAAGGCATTTGTTTCACCTGCCAAAAGTGGCAGACGCGTTGACTGTGCCCCCACTCCAGATTTGCGCTCTTTTATGGGGGATACGTGTCATTTTTCCAGGTGGAAAGACCTTGGAAAGACCCGGTTTTCGGGTTGCCGTCTGGCAGGATACGAGCCCATCCCTCACATGCCGGTGAGTCGGCTGTCCACGGCGGAGGAGTTCCATGGCACGCTAGACATGTTGACGGAGGTCGGGGCACCAGCGAGGGGAAGAAAAGCCGTTTTGAGGTAGGTCTAATTAATGTTGACCCCGGATTAACCCCCGGTTTTTGTTAATCAAAGGAAGTTTTTGATAATCTACAAAAGTGGTTGATTAAAGTGACATCCCCCCTCCTCTCTCATTGGTAGGTTTAATGTTGACCCCGGATGAACAATCACCTGTTTTTTGTTTACTAGGGGAGGTTCCCCTCCAAAAGTGAAATTAAATCCCCACCAAACCCCAACAAACACCACCATATTCATAAATACCGGGTTTATTACCCCGGGGTCAACATTCAGAGGAAGCTAAAAGGAAGACTCAGGCTCCGTTCTCGGAGCTTAGGGCTCCGAAGCCCTATCTTGACACATACTAGATACAAACTAATCTACAAGTAAAAGTGGTTGATTGAAGTGACATCCTCTAAAAGTATCCTCAAGTTGCTGGAATCGAAAAGGGAACCCCACGGAACAGAGCTGGTTGATTGGGGGAAGGGTTTTTTCCCCCCGTTTTCCTGGTTTTTTTTTTCACAAGTGAAAAACAAGTGTTTGTTCGCAGTGCCGAATTCCATTTTGGGCCAGGTGTTTCAGGTGCCCGAAACGTGTGTAGGCCACGTTTAAGCCTGACCAGGTGACGAAAGGAGGAGAGGGCTCTCGCCTTTCAATAGGATATACTTGCCCCAAACGCTTTGCTTGAGGTAACATGTGATTACACATTCAGACCATTTGGCGAAGGTCAGTCCACCGCTTACCTTAGCGGTTGACAGCCCTCTCGTGATACTCCGTTCCCCAAGGGACGACATGCCGTCTGGCTGGGGGAATGCGCAGCGTATATGACGTCATTGCGAAATGAGGATTCGCATTTGCGACGCGAAAGACAATTCCTGTAGAACGTGGGTATTGCCTGTAGAACGTGGGTATTGCGAGCTGGGGGTATTTTCAACATTCAAGAAGCTTGGCTGTATAGCTTTCTTGTCTATTCTCTTCAGGCATCGCTGTCAGAAAATGGTTCCGAGCTCATGTAATTCGGGGACTTAGAACAAAAACGATGGCTGAACAGGATGGGGAATCAAGCGACAGTCTGGCACATAATATGTGCAACTTTTTAGTTCTCGCTGCGCGTGCCAATTTCCGCATGACCATCCACGTTTTTGATGGCATGGCCCCGACGCGGGCTGCGAATTCCGGAGCACGACAGCAAGCCTTTGGGAGAGCGTGCTTTAATCGTGAGTCCCGTTTTAGAGGTGAGAGCCGACGTTGGAATCTTTGGCATTGTTTACGGAGGGCGTCAGCTTGCACGTTGGCTCTTTGGTTTCCTATGAAAGCCCAAGACGGTTGGTTGCATTTTGGTTTCCTGTTACAAACACCAAGAGGGAAGCTGATGTTTGGCTTCGGACAAACAAAACGACAAAACGCCGTCCATTTGCTTAAGGCCCTGGGGAAAAAACACAAATCTGTCCAGTAGCGATAGGTTCCCTTTGAAACCAACAAGGGAAAATGACACATACTCTTAAGCAAATACAGTAGACGAAAACAGGCCTTCAACAACAGGCACCCTCAAAGATAGGCGTCATATGGCGCACTATCTGTTTGGCTTCCCTGTAAAACCACAAAACAGGCACCCCCAACAAAGGACCCTATTTGGCAAGACCCAGTGGTGAGGTCGAGCTGTTTGGAGCTCCATGAAAATGACCACTGTGGCACCCGTGAATTGTGTCCACCCACAGTAGTGGAAAACAACCATTGTTTGCGATACCAGAGTGGGATTCCACCGGTTTTGGGATTCCCATGGCCCCTCAGAAGTGGAACCTAGACGCCCGTTCTCCACCGTGCTCAAGCATGGAACGACCCCAATGATTCCTGGATCCAATAGTCTCATGTCTCATCGTATAGCTCGTATTATGGCTGATCTACTTGGGTCTCATGACCGACTCACCAAGCCTGTTCTGGAGTCTCGAGATCTGATATCTTTGAGACCTTCGTAAACTGGCAAACTTCATAGCAAATCCTTACTGGCCGCTATCAAAGCTAACCTCGGGCTTGGAAGCTCGAAGCTCACCATCTGATGGCTTTTTCGGCCGAACAAAAACAAATCCCGGCAAACAAACAACCATCAAATTCTAGTGGGCTGTTTGGATTGGTTTGGTGGTGAAATGGAGGGGTTTCCCATAAGCCACCGGGCTCCAAAGCACCTGACGGGTGACCTGAAACCCGAAACCGAACCCGCTCGATTTGGTGATCACCAATTTGGTTGTTCTTGTCGGTTTTCCCCTTTTTGGGCGCCGTGTTTCGTGGCTTTAAGAGCTGGATCACCTTTTGTTTTGCCCACGCGGTGCCGCGCCGCCGCGCGCCGAAGCGCGCGGAAGGCGGGGGCGCGGCAGCTGCTGCTGGTGGGGGGCAACGACCTCCGGCAGCGCAACGCCCAGAACGAGCTGCGCTTCCGCGGCTCGGTTTCCTTGAAACGAAAGCCGAAAGACGAAATCCGAAAAACGAGCCACGAGGGGAGGGGGGGTTGGACAAACAACGGGGGGGTTGAAAAATCCATGGTTAGCTGGTAATTGGTTCAAGTTAATGTGACCTGTCACTGACCCATGAATGGTATGGTTAGGTGCTTGGGGTTAAAACAAAGGGGGTTCAAGCCATGGGTCCCAATTCTTTGGCCAAATCCGAAAAGTGGACTCACATTGGACATACAGACCCAGACCTTTTCCAGATGCTGCGAGAGATGCAGGGAATGGAGAAAAGGGATGAACCGTTTTGGGATTGTGGAACAAAGGCCGCCACCAGTTGGATGGTCTATAGGGCTCATTCCATGTCTCATTCCCTGCACATCGCACGAGCAAGTCTTCTCACCCGCGCTTTGCACTGTTCTTGGCTTCCACTGAAAATTGGTGACCCTGGAAGTGTACACGTTTTGGCAGGTGGTCCAAGCAATTTAGGCGTTCAAACTTAGCAGGCTAATCGCCTTAAGCCATGGGTAGTGTTTACACATCACGTCCAAGGAGGCGTTTTGAGGCTTTTCTGGCCCCTTTTACAAACTCCCCCTGACTACACATGCTTTGGTTGCGTGTCCACGCTGAAAATGCGTTGTTTGTTTCGCATTGTTTTGAATCTAAGGCGGTTGTTCATCTTGGGGCTTACCCCTTTTTGAAGTGCACTGAGTAATTCTTTGCGATCAAAAAGTCTCAAGCGAGGAGCTGTCGTTTGGGATCTCTCTGGGGTTTCAATCATAAACCAGCAGGCCTTTGTCATGGGATTTCAGAGCCCGTTGTGGTTTTCGTTAGGGATATCAGGACATGTTAACATATGTTAACCATGTTAGCGGAAGACTATTTTGAGATAAATCCCCAGCATCCCGTGAGATTCAATATGGAGTGGTAAACCCTCCCCCCTCCACCCCTGAAAAAAGGTTCCCCATCTGATTCTTGCGGAATCAGAAAGTCCCAGCAAGCGTGTAGGGGGTGGCTTTCGCCTCCTCCCGAAAGAAGACTCGAGGCATAGGTTTCGCAAGCTTCAAAAGACCTATAACCTTGTTGTGCAACTCGCTGTGTATTGTTTTGGTGGCTCCCAGCCATCCGGCTCCTTCGCTTTCTAGCTTTTTTGGGTTTAGTGGTAGGGTTTCCATTTAGCTCACTAAAAGTTCAACCTTTTGCTGGCTATCTCAGGACATCCCTGTCTTTGCGGGTGCTGAAAGGGACACATAGTGTTCTCTTGTTTTTTGATGCTACCAGAATGCATGTGTGCTTCGTTTAAGACTAGCTGGTGAACGGATTTGGTCAAGTTGGCAATTGGCAAAGCTTTTTGCCACTCTAGCTTTTGCCAGTTGATCTTGAACACCCTCTAAGTATCAACTCTAATTCGCTTTTTTGCCAACCCTTTTTCCCCTTTGTAAAGGTCAAAAGGCGTTCCCAGTTTGCAAGTTTTACATCAGAGTTTCGCACGAGTCGGCCACGTGAGCTTGGAAGACATGTGGGTTGCTCTAAGGAAACAAGTGCTTCTCACCCCTCTTCCATTGGTTTCAAACCAGTTGCACTCCCAACGAAAACGCTATGTTGCATGTTGGCTTGAAATTTTGAATTAGCTCTTTTCTAACAACAAACATATTTGACAGGGTCATCATTCAACCCCACTCTTGGTGGAAAGGCGAACCGGCGAACCCTCGATTACTTGGCTGTTCAATCGACTTAGCAAGTAGGTTATAGCCAACTTGGACTAACCCCAGCTACCCCACCTGTAGCTATGGTTACAACAACTTACTGAGTGGAATACCCAAGTGTTTTTTTTTGACAACTGCCTTTTGTTCCGCTGATCTCAGGCAATGTGTCAGCCTTGCTGAAGGCGGAACGGTGCACATCAGCTGCATGAGGTGCACCCATGACAGACACTCACCGATCAATATGCACGTGTTTGTTCTTGAGGTTGCCTTTGTTGGGGCTGCTTAAAAGGGGACGCCTTCCATACTGTTGAGACACATGACTTCCAGGATACTGTTCGGGCCCTACCTTGCAGGGTGCTTGGGTTCCGGAAAACCACGGCCAGAGGGATATTTGGCCAGGGACCACGTCGCGCGTTGGGCCCCGACGAACCTCCGGAGGATGTGCTTGCTGACTGGTCGCGGTGATGACTTGCCCGCTCGGAATGAGCGAAAGAAGCAGTCTCCATCAAATGTTTGCGCATTTCTTCCACTTGCCAGTAGGTAACCTAGGAAGCACCTTTTGGAGACCAAAAGGAAAATCACCAAAAAAATAGCGTGACACCCTCAGCGGCAACAGATACTTGAGGGCTCTATCGGAATTCTCGTGAGCGTTTGAAATTGTTCAGTCGAAAACACAGACCTTGTAATCTTCTGGCTGGTCCCCTCTTGGTAAAGAAACCACTAAGAGCACGATCTCTACTAAAAATACTTGAAAAGTCAGCCACATGTTGAATCCCTTCATTGGAAGCATCTAAGATTTTGAGAGCCATGAAGTCAAGTTTCTTGGTAGCCTGGAATCAACTAGAAGAGAGGAAAGGTAGGCCCTTGTGGGGGGGGGGTGACCAAATATATACATATATACATAAATAGTAGAATGATTCGCGAGTACACGACAAACCTTCATTTGTGAGTGGATGCGGCTCTTCAAAACCAACCTCTTAAATGCACCACACTTCTTCCAAGAACCCATCATTTTTTCTAAACCTACCTTCAACACACCAAACAAAACAAATCACCTTCTAACACTCCAAACCCGCCTTCAACCACCTGTGAACCCTCCTTTAACACCAAACCACCGGCAAGCAGCCCGAAAGGCGGAGGCGAAATCCATGAAGGCGGCGGGGATCCAGACAGTGGCGCTGGCGGGTCTGCCGGATAGCCGCTCGGCGCTTGGGGCTGCCTTAAGAAAAACGTGGAGGGGGACCCATGAGTGGACCCACATGGCTGTGAGTCAAAAAAGGGTGATGAAAATGGGTTGCCCTGGTAAATGGAAACAAAGACTAAGACCTGTGTAACCCCAGCTCTTTCATTTTCAGCCACACCCACATGAGTCTGTCTCTCTTTGAAGGTACCCCCCTTTAGGTTGATTTTTAAGAGGAAGATAGCAGGAAAGCCACCCTGTTGGTTGGTTTTTAAGGGGACACAACAACAGGAAGACCACCATTTTGGGAGGGTCCACTAAAAAAAACACCCACATGGCTGCGGTGTCCCTTTTGGATTCCCAAATCAACCCAACATGGGTACTCAAAGGGCAGCCTTACGCCAGTTTTTAACTACCCTTGTAGCCTCGCAATGTTGGCACAGGGGTCCCAGCTGTATTTCCATTTGGGTGGGGAACGGCGCCTTTGTAGCCACCGCAAATGAGCTCCCTTGGTTGGAAATATCGAGAACAGTGTTGCTGCCAGTTTCCACACTGCGGCATGGCGGCGAGGGGTAAATCGTAAGTCGTCGGATACATCGCCCTTCCTCCTTTGAAGCAGCCATCGACTGGTCTTGGATCGCTCGGCTTGTCACTGTATGATCAATTGGCGCGGCAACTTACCAAACATGGTGTTCTCCGCCTCATGGCATTCGAGTATGCGATGGGCATGCACAAGACGTCAGAATTCGAGAGAACCGTGCGTGAGCGGCAAGCGGTCAAGAGCACTCCAGAGCATTGTGTTCAACTCCAACCCCTCAAGACGAGCTTTTTTTGAATTCCCTAAACGGCCCTGGTGGTATCGTTTTGGGGTAGGTGCACCACCCATTTTAGAACCTATTCTAGTGGGGATTGGGATGTTCACCGGGAGCATGGGGTTTTGACCCATAGCCATACAACCATTTGCCCCCACTTCCACGCAGACCCAGCTGTGCCATTGTCAAACGACCCCTACTTGCGCATGGTGCCAGCCATGGCAAGGGCTCCCAAAGCCGTCAGCGACTCCTGGGCCCCTTGCGTTTGCGAGGGCAGTTCGAGTTTAACCGAAGGGGCTGAAGTGCCGATTTTTCCAGGCCCTTTTCAAGACTTCAAAATGGACCGGCGGGGGTTTGCCCGCTTCGCAAGGTCCCCCCTGGCCGGGCTGGGATGAGAAGGCGCCCAAATGGGAAGCTCCGCGTTCCTTTTGGTCGTTCCTCTGCTTGAAACCAAGCACAGAAGTTGAGGTTCACCCCTGTTCGACTTGTTTCGTGAGGCACAACACCCGCTGCTCCAGATTAGCCACCCTCACTTTTTATCGCAGGCGTTGGCCTGGGATCAAATAAGATAGCGGCGTGCCAGGGTCCGATTCGACGATGTTGGGGTCCTAGAAAATGGACCCGGGTAGCGGACATTGGGCTTGGTTTCCGCTGCCTGCGAGAAGTAAACGTGTGCCTAACAGCGTAGCTTTCAAACTTTGCCTAGGCAAGCGACTCTAGCAAGGGTTCCTCAAGTTTTTGCCATGGTTTTTCCTGGTTACCAGTGGCTTGGTATTTGGCTTTCTACTTGGTGTTACATCTGGTGTTATATTAAGCAGGCTGACGCCTGATGCCGCCGACCCCCCAATATGCTTTTATTGTTGATGTTGTTTTAAATATTGTTTTAAGAATTCGAGGTACGAGGTAAACATTATAATAATAATGATGATTATTATTATTAATTGGCCAGATTCGCAAAAAGAGAAGAAACAAGAAAACAGAAGTAACTCTAAGGTATAATAAAAGATGGACTAAATCTCCTCGAAATCTTAAATCAAAGAAAAGAATACCAGAATAAAACTCACCAAACATAAAACA